TTCGTTGACATCTTGTGTTTTGGATCGTATATACTTGAAAAGAATGTTTTTATACTTAGTTATACTATTAATATAATAATTAATATATAATATACTACTAATTTAGTCAAAAAGTAAAAAAGTAAACTCACACACTGCAGGAGAATGGAAACGCTCCTGTTCTTTAACTGCACAGTAATATGTGTCTGAAGGATCAAATGTCTGCAGGTGTAAATATCTTTTCTTTTCCTCAACTCTGATTCTATTCTTGTACCAGACGTAGGAAGGATAATCAGCGTGCTGACAATTGCTGTGACATGTCAGCTCTGTCCAGGTAGAAAACTGGTTGACTGTTGATCTCCTCACACGTATCTGGAGCTGTGGATCTGTGACAAACCAACAGACACGTTAGTTTAGAAAGAAATGTCAACACACTCATAGAAATGTGGACAGAACGTTGACTCTGACTGACTTCTAGTGAAAATGTTACCTGAGACAGACAGAGTGACTCCAGGTTCACCAGTATATTTCCCAAGTTCTTGGTTTGTTATGAATCTGAATTTGTACTCAGCTGAGTCAGTTTTTTTCAGACTTTTGATTGTCAGACTGCAGCTCTTCTTACTGTACTCAACACGACCATGATAATCTTGATCAGCTTTCAGTTCCACAAATTGATTATCCTTCATTTTAGTGAACCAAAATGTTTCAGCAACACGTATTCGAGGGGGGTATGTGTAGCTGCAGTGCATTTCCACTGTGGATCCTTCAAAGGCACAGATCTGAGTAGAAGTGTAAGTCACATCCCAGGGAGCCTTTACCACTGTGACACAGAGCAAAGCAGAGACCACAGTCAGATTCAGGACACCAAAGGACTGAGATGAATATTTGTCATAAGCACTTCACTATATAGACTATTCAGAAAGCTCACTGCAAACACACAGCCATGCAGGTTGTGTGGTCAGACACAAAATACAGGACAAGACACAAGGTGTCTGAGAAGTAAACTCACACACTGAAGGAGAGGTAGACTTCTCATGTCCACTCACAGCACAGGAAATTTTGTTTAGGGAGTCAAAATGACTTAAATAAGACTGAGATGTTTGTCCTTCAATGATGCGTCCATTGGAGTACCAGACGTAGGGCTGATGGTCTGGTAGAGGACAACTGCTCTGACACTTCAGCTCGACTGACCGTGAATCCCTGATGGGTGACCTGCTCACCTGGAGATCTGTATCAGTGACAAGGAACACAAGAGTTTTAAAAATAATGGACAGAAGCACAAAGAGGCACTCAAAGTAAGCAACAGAATCAAAAGAAGAAATGTCACCTGCCACAAACAAAGTGACTCCAGGTAATCCAGTATAAGTTCCACGCTGGTGGTTTGTTATGAATCTAAACATGTACACAGCTGAGTCGCTCTTTCTCAGGTCTGTGATTCTCAGAATGCAGTCGTTGTTTCCACAGCGATAGTCTACCCGACCTGAATAGTCCGGGTCTGTTCTCAGATCCACATAGATGTCGTTACTCTGTTTTGAAAACCAGAGTGTTTTCTCAACAGTAGTTTCACGGTCATGTTTTCTTAAAGGGTATGTGTAGGTGCAGCGTATTTCCACAGTTGATCCTTTGACGGCACAGATGTGAGGAGAAGTGTAAGTCACCCCCCAGTCACCCAGACTGTGCATCACTGGAACACAGAACACATCAGAAGTCATCAGATTCACACCTGACAGGTTCAGTTCACAGACTTGTTTTTTGCTAGTCCATTGAATTGACTGCAGCATCAGAAAACAAACCTGTTTGTTTTTCTGATCTACATTTTAAATCTCCTGTGAGGGACACAGAACAATGTGTCCTGGAGAACAAACAGTCTGCAGGTTTTCACTTCAGCTAAAGACACACCGACGAGCCGTCCTTCGTGTCGAGGAGAGGATCAGTGGAGCCACCTGCTGACATGACTGAGTGGAATGAAAACCTGCAGACTGTCTACATGGTGCACAGCAGGACATGTAAAACACGCTGTGATGTTTATCACTGCTGCAGGCTTCAACTCTGATCAGCTTTGAATCAACTGAGACAGAAAAGTGCCCTTTTATCAACACGTCTGTATCAGGGAGCAGCAGTGGAGCAGCGTTACAGCAGGGTTGTACTCAGATCACAAAAATGTTATGAGCTCATTTCTGCATTAAGCCAAATAAAATACATGGATGAAGAAAATATTCAGGACAAATTTTAGAGATCTGACACCAAAACCCTCAAGTCACTTTGACAGTTTTAAATCCATCCAGCTGGTGCTTGTAGAGATGTTGGTAAGAGCAGACGTATCATTTCTTGACTGCAGGTTTTCAAAGCACATCCATCCATTGTCCAACCAATTAAGAAGCATTATTTATCTGATGCTCCATCCATCCATTATCTATACACTGCTTAATCCTCACTAGGGTCACGGGGGGCTGGAGTCTATCCCAGCTGACTCAGGGTGAAGGCAGGAGACACCCTGGACAGGTCACCAGTCTATCACAGGGCTACACTTAGAGACAGACAACCAAGCACACTCACATTCACACCTACGGACAATTTAGAATCACCAATTAACCTCAACATGTGCTTAGACTGTGTGGGAGGAAGCCGGAGAACCCGGAGAGAACCCACGCTGCACGGGGAGAACATGCAAACTTCACGTAGAAAGATCCTGGGTGTCCTCACCGGGACCCGAACTGGCGATCTTCTAGCTGGGACGGTGCTAACCACCGAGCCACCTTGCAGCCCATGAACAATCATCTGAATTAAAAATGAAATTGCTTTAAGGAAGATATTCCTGGTGGCATCATCAGAAACAGCACACTTGTAATTTGCACGCATCCAATAATAAAATTGTTACAATTAAAGGTGAAACCTCCTGAAGATGCTCCTGGATCAGCTTGTTTCTGTATCCACACCAGAAGTCATGGTAATTATCGTTTTTCTTTTTTTTTTTGAAAAGGGTCTTTAAATTCTAATTCAAGGTTAAAGCCTGTATTATGGCCTCTAGACTACGAAATCAGATTTCTGGACACTTAAATTACTCATATGATGTCAAAATCTTTAGTCAAACAATAGAACACTGCTGTCATACACATGGGGCATCGGACTATAATTGGGATTTCCAGTTGCTGCCCGCATCAGATTCAAAACTCTGACATTTGCCTACAAAACCACAACGAGAACAGCTCCCTCCCACCTGAACTCTCTCCTTCAGGTCTACACTCCCTCTCGCTCACTAACCAACAAAAGCCTCCTGATACAACCACCACAAGGGGCCCGAGGTTGACAGCTGGACTCTTCTCCTCTGTGGTTCCCCGGTGGTGGAACGAGTTACCAAACTGTTCAATCTGCTGACTCCCTCTCAGTCTAAGAAAAGACTAAAGACCAGCTTCACTGAACACCTTTGCACTTGACAGACTGGAAACAGACAAACAAAAGAAAACAAAAACTCCCATCTACGCCCTATCACACTTAAACTTGTTCTATGACACTTATCCAGGTTGTTTTCTTCTGACTAGATCTTTGCTTGTGTTGTATCTGCTCTCAGATGTACGTCGCTTTGGATCAAAGCGTCTGCCAAATGAAATTGTAGGATTTAAGTATTTAGATGTATAATGTCACATTTTTATAGAGTTCCCCGTGACATTTTTACAAAGAAAGATGTATCCCACAGTAGGAGAAGGTCAGCCCGAACAGTCAAAAGTCAGCAAAACGCTCAACGCACAAGTAAGACGTTGCATTTCAATGAGACGACAGAAAGTCTGGTGCTGCAGCTTTGGGGAAAACTGATCATTTTATCTGTCAAATCTCAAAACATGCTTCTGATCACTCTAAGCAGAAATACTGTACAACATCTGTAAGTACATATACGGTACCTGTCACAGTGAGAAGAAGCACCAGAAATCCACTGGTTGTAGCAGCTAGACTCATAGCTGCTGCTCTCATCTCCGTGTGTGAGTCAGTCAAACATGCCTGCACATCATTAATGTCCTTTGAAATAAACGACTTATTGTAACACCTTCATTTGCACTGCAGAAGAAGAAGTTTACATAAGGCGACTTTCCCACACGAGATTAACGGGAAGACAGAAGTTCTGGTCAGCGCTGTAAATAAAACGCCTAGTTTCCTTCCTCTTTGATTCATTTGTATGCATGATTGAACCCACACTGTCAGATTAGGTAAGGACCAAACATCTGTCGTCTACTCCACCCCCCATTAAGCAGAAGTAAGACAGGAAAAAAACATGGAACCTCATTGAACCAGCATTTCTTTAAGTGTGGGAACAAACAAACTGTAAACAGCTCCCACACCAGTCAGTGCTCATGCAATGTTTTGCAGTAAAAACAGAAAGAACAAAAATACATTTTAGATTTTAATTTACAAAGTGAAGCAAGGCTTGATTGTTCTTGATGCTGTAGATGAGAGTTTATTACAGTAAAAGTTTGTAAGTAAAAGCAATTTTTGAAAAAGCAAGCTTTGCTCAATCCATCCACCCATTATCTATACACCACTTAATCCTCACTAGGGTCATGGGGGGCTGGAGTCTATCCCAGCTGACTCAGGGTGAAGGCAGGAGACACCCTGGACAGGTCACCAGTCCATCGCAGGGCTACACTTAGAGACAGACAACCAAGCACACTCACATTCACACCTACAGACAATTTAGAATCACCAATTAACCTCAACATGTTTTTGGACTGTGGGTGGAAGCCGGAGAACCCGGAGAGAACCCACGCTGCACGGGGAGAACATGGAAACTCCACGCAGAAAGATCCCGGGTGTCCTCACTGGGACGCGAACCAGCGACCTTCTAGCTGCGAGGCAACGGTGCTAACCACCTGCACCACCCTGCCCTATGCTTTGCTAAATATATAGTACAATTGATTAGTATTTTATTGCTGACTTAAATTTGTGAAAAAGAGAACACAAACATGGTTGTAATGATCAGGTTAGGCAGTAGAACGTGTTCACAGAATGAGATGATTGTGCTGCTGATAAAACCCGCTGTGATAAAAGACAATGTACAGTTAAAGAAGCAGCACAGACCTCAACATCTAGTGGTAGTAAATAGAAACTACGTCAAACTAAAACAAGTGTCCCTCCAACAGAACAGTAGCCAAAAAAAAAGAAAAATAGCAGCAATGTGCAGCATCATTATGGAGCCTAACCAGTCCAGACCTTCAGGGACACAGTTCACTGAATAAAGGTCCAAACTGTCTGTCTGCAGCCTCCAAGGATTCTGAAAGACCAACGCTAGAAAATGCAACAAAGTGGAGCAAAGCCCACATAGATGAATGAATGATGAGCAGTAGGCTGTGTTAAAGAGACGTGTCTTTATGGATTTCTTGACTATGTGAGGAGGATTCTCTGATGCTTTTGAGCTCCAGAGGGTAGGAATGACAATGGAGAACGTCCCATCACCCCGGGTGGGACTCACAGGGGGGACGGGAGGCCAGCATCAGCAGCTAGAGTCAGTCAGAGGGGAGTCAGGTTGTTGAGAGCTTTGTAGGTGAGATGAGTAAGTGGATTTGCTGTGGGGACGGAGAGACAGTGGAGGTTTGGAAGGAGAAAGATGGAGTGGTGTGTTGTGTCTAAAGCAGCGCTGAGGCTGAGGAGGATGTTTAAGCTGCCGGTGCCAGAGGAGAGAAGAAGAAGGGTGTTCGAGGAGGGAGGTGTCTATGGTTGAGAAGGACTGTGTGAGAAATATGCAAAAGTAATATAACGACCCTGCAGATGTTTTTCACACCCAGTGTTCAAGAATTCACAGCTCTGCTTGTATCCATCAAGGAGCAAATATGCATTTACACACATGTACAACACAGCAGATATGAAAAGAGGTTGTACTGAGCGTTCAGGGTTGTGCAGTTAAAGATGGAGTCACAGGTGTTTTTGACAAACCAACGGTCTGAAAACATGTTTTTATGCTTTAATCTAATTTTGGCATCAGCGATCTTCTGTGCAGTTGCATGCTGGGGCTCACAGGAAGAGACTCAACACGCTTACAGTGTTTCCTCCAGGACTGTTTCCAGCAGCGGGGGCAGGCTGTCCATAAACAAAGGACATTTGACTTACAACCTATTCATTGAATGGCCAGTTGAAAATGGCTTTTTAAAGGCTGAATATAAAAATTAAAATAATAAAAAAAAATAAATAAATAAAACAATACAATTAAAGAAATATAAATAAAAACAATAAACAATATTTTTTGGGGGGAGGCTGTAGATTCAGAGGCAAAGTTTGCACCCAGGCTCACAACAGTTCATTTTTCTGGGTTTATTTCTCAAAGAGCTCTGAGGCTCTGAAGAGAAATTCTCTGAGAGGCTCAGCAGCAGACATGATGCAAGCTGATCCCCTGCAGCCAACCAAGCTCTAAAATGCAGCACGGCTCCACTGCGCCCCCTACAATATTTCAACAGAGTCCCACCGTGGCTACGTTTCACCTACAACTACGAACTTAGCCACACATATGTAACAACTCGTGACGCACAAAAAAGTCCATTAGCATGTTTCTGTAAACCCGACAGGAAATCCGCCATGTTGGAAAAACGGCCATTTTCAAAATCTATCTTCTCCTGGAGGGTCCGTCGTACGTACCTGAGATTTGGTGAGCACAAATTACAGGACGTGGTGATTAAAAGTTATCAAAACGCTCCACAGATGAGGCCCGGTTTGGAATTGGCGGCCCGTCCAATTTCGATCAACGGCCATTTTGTCCATTTTCGGGGTGTTTTTTGCCTTCAACTGACTCTTGTCAGAAGGCTGTTTCATCTACTGCTACAAGATTCGGTGGGCATGTGTAGAAGGTCAGGACGCACGAAAACATCAATCACCACCAACTCCTAAACCCAACAGGAAGTCCGCCATTTTGAAAAAACCCAGTGACAGATTTGGCGATTCTGGGTGACTTCTGGACATTGTTGGCCATTTTCAACATCTATCTCCTCCTACAGGGAAGGTCGGACACACCTGAAAGTTGGCCAGCACAAATTACAGGAGGTGGTGATGAAAAGTTATTAAAACCATCCGCAAAAGTCTGACAGCGTGGAAATGGCGCCCCCCTGAATTCGGCCACAACGCCATAAAACACCAGAATAGATACATGCTGTGTAACTGGCCTGTGTGTGCTCTGATCAGCCTGAAACTTTACAGGCGTGCCCTGAGTCTCAGCCACAGCGCGGTGCCAGCATGCCAGGCCATGCACGCCGCCTCGCCATTAAACAGGAAGTGAAGTGTAAACAGCCTATACATGCTCCAATTGCTCTCAAACTTCACATGTTGCATCACACTCTCACCCTCATCACAGCCATATGACCACTCTCACTCACACCGCCACCTGGGGGCGTGGCCACAACGCCCTAAAATGCCTGAATAGGAGACGTGATGTGTAACTGGCCTGTATGTGCTCCGATCTTCCTGAAACTTCACGCGCATGCTCAGAGTCTCAGCCAAAGCATGTTTCCGCCACGGCCTACACGCACGCCGCTGCGGCTCGCCACTAAACAGGAAGTGGCTCGTAAATATGCCGCACGTGCTCCTATCTGGTGGAAACTCTACTCGCCGGATCAGAGTCCCGCCCGGAGCACGTTTGTGCCACACCCCGGTGTGCGCGAAGGCCGACAAGCGTCGGGCGAGGAGCGAGGAGCCGTCCAATGCCGCTTGCGGCTTTAATTTATAATTGTTTCTAGTTTGTGTCTGATCATATATTATTAAATGTCTGCTGCTGTCCACTGCTCCTCCCTGTCTGATGCTACTGGTCTCATACGATTACATAAAACATCAACGTTACATCATTTACACTCACATCACACCTGAGTACAGTCTAAACACTATTTTTTTTTTTTATGAGTCAGTAAAAGGCTAATGATACCTGGCTAGCGTCATCTTCATCTGGTGTCTTTCTCTTCTTAGAGAAATATTTAACACGTTCATCTGAAGATGCATTTCCATCATGGCGTGTAGATGTTAGCTTAATGCTATCAGTTGGTTTAGTCACGTTAGCGACACTGAGTTGGCACCGGGCCCAATTAGCTTAAGATACCGATGTGTTACATAATGCTAGCTGGCCATTAATATGTTGCGAATGTCTATTTAACTTGTAAAATCTATTATGAGTTACCGTAAGCTAATAAGTCTACCTTTTCTCCGGTAAATCGCTGTGCTATTGACCCTCCTCTGACTCTCTGACCTGGAGCC